TCAGAAACAGATTCAACAACATGACACACAAAAACATTTTAGAAGACAGTTCCTGAGAGTTTTGGCTGTGTGGATTAAAACCTCCAGCTGTAAATCCTTCACTCATCTCTTCACCTAACACAGTGTAATTCCTCCAGTGCTGCCCACATGCTGACACTCTCTACAGCCCCCATCTGTGTGTGACAAGTGTTTTGAAACTAGTTTTCAGACAGAGGAACAGTTTGTCCTCTCTGCCGGAACAGAAAAAGATATTTTAATTTGATCAAATATAGTGCAGCTTTCAAAACTGATTCTACTTAAAAATACTAATACTTGGATAAATATTATATATATCACATACTGATTTTTTTTTCAAAGTGGCATAGTAGTTGAGTTCAATGTTTGTAATTTAAAAATAAGTTATTCCCCTTCCTATTTATCATATACAGTAGTCACTACATGGTTAAAAGCTATGCTGTGCAGACTTGTGTAAAAAAAATATCCCAGAGGCTTGTGGTCTAAAACAAACAACAATCTAAGCCAAGAACATCTCGATTTCTCATCAGACACATAAAAAGAAAACCCTGAATAATTTATGCACAGGTTTGTCCCAGCTGTACAAACACATAAACAGATGCACAGCATAAACAGGTATTCAGGTGACTCAGGGATCTGTACTATAAACAGTAGTGCATACTGATGCTCACACTAACTAGAAGATGAATGACTTTGATAAGTTTCAGTACTGTATGTTTGTTGTTTCAGTATGCAGAAAAGTGACCCTTTGTCCATTAGTGTGTGTTTGTGTTTACTGTATGTGAGTTACTCCAAACTGTTTATTACTGATTTCACCATGTTTCATTGAAGGTTGTTGTACATAATTGCTGACTGTGCTTACTTCAGGTTAAAGTAATTTATGATTGAAGCTTCATTCTTAGTGGTGCACATTGTTTACACTGCAAAACCACTGTGAATGTGCCATCTAAAGAGAGTGAGGCCTGAGAGGGGCAGCTTAACGGGGAGCTTCCTTGCTCAGCTGGTTTCAGAGCAGACGCCAACTAACAGCTGAATCATAGTTACTGAAATATTCATCAACCAGTTCCTACACACATTTGCACTTTTGCTCCAGTGAAGAAGAGTAGTAATTTAACATCATCTTAAAAATACTTCCTGAGCACCGCTAGCTGAAGTGCTTCAGTAATGTAGCACTGACATACAGTAATGCAGAGGGTTAAATTTGAAACTCACATCATAAGTGGTCAGTGAAACTGCTTTTCAGCTTGGTATTACATTGGAGGTACAGTAAGCATGTGAACTGAGACTGGCCGCTCCAGAAAAATAATTGCATCAGCCAAATGAAAAACATGTTTACATTTTGGAGATTTTCAATCTGACGTTCAGGGTTCAGGCCATGCCTGAAGCACACGCCCCTTCCTCTCCCAATCATATTTAAACCATCAAGAAAGACTCACCTCTGCTTTTGCTTTGATGCAGGATGCTTGCCAGTGCCTGATAGCAGCACAAAACCCTGAAGCCTTTCTTTCCCCAGTTCATAATTAGGAAGCAACCTCTGCTGGTGTGTAATAACGACTGCCCAGGCCAACTTAAGCACCCCCAACCCGGCCTCCATTCATTAGAATGAGGTCAAGCTTCAAAGGAGGACCTCCCTTCCTAAGAGAGGGGGTTGAATAATTTATTTTTTAAGGTAAAAACAAGGAAGGTAGATATAATACATACTGTATGTCCATCTACTGGCACCCTTAGTACACCATAAGACAATGTGCATAATCATATTTGATTGTCTTGTATGATCAGGAAGAAAAAACACGTATAGTAACAAACTTAAAAGCTGATTTGAAAGTACTGTAGGCTATACATACATGGACCTGCAGAAAATGTAAGTTTATGAAACTGTAAACTTTAACTGTACAGTCCTGTCCAGTTATATTGTACATAGTCTGAAGTCTGTATAAGAACAAACTTAAGCAAGTGAGCAAGTGCACTTTCAAGGCTGTTTTCTTCACAAAGTAGTAACCAAACATGCTTTCGATCCATGTCAGACTTTGGTCTGACTGTCTTCCTTGGTTGGTTCAGCATGTGTTCTGTCTGTTTTCTTCTCAGGGAAACACATTTGACCTCTGAAAACAAGGTTGAAAAAAGCAGATGGTGTAAAAGCAAGAATATTAGGAAGCAAGGAAAGAGAAGGATATTGCTGAATGAATAGAAGAAATAATAAACCACCAATGGAAAAAGTGGTTTAGAAGTCTGCCGTTATTTTCCTTGTGAGGTTATCTGGGCCAGACTGAGGCTGACATGTACTGTTTGGCCAAGCAGCAGGACGGTGGAGTGAGAAAGCTGCAGAACCTCCATCACAGACAGAGATTTCTCTGAGTGCTGAGGAAAAGACTCTGCAGGTTCTAGATAATGGTCATGACAAGATCATTCAAAGCCTCGCCTATACGTGAACACTTACAGTATTACTCTTTTATCTTGTCTTGTGTGAGTTCATGTCCCTTCTCTTCTGCTGCTGACAATCCCATCATCTGCTGACCTTTATTCTTTTTATTTTATTTTTTTTGCCATTTTTCAAATTTTCCATTTCCCGTTCACAGCGTTGTTCACCCACCTCTGTAGAGTGAGACAGATGTTGTCTTCCTTTTGTGTTTCTATCAGGTTCTTCCATTAAACAGATTGAAGAAATGACCAGAGGTGACAGCTTTATTCGAAAGTTAATTGTTCAGGCCACGTCTACTGAAAATTGCGTTATTTACCCACCTTACTGTAATTGCTTGTATAATTGCTGCTAGCTATTAATGTAATATTTCCACATGAAAGTGCAGCTTTTATCATCCCTGGCTTTTTCCCTCCACATCACTCCTTTCTGGATTGCGTCTCCATTCAGCCCCTCCCCAACCTATTCCTTCTCTAACAACAAATTTAAATGCAAAGAAGGCGAATCTGCATACCATGTCCTCCCACAGGAAAGACATTAAAAAAATCTAAGGAAATCAAAATCATTGCAATCTCTTTTTCTAGGCCACTGTCTACAGACGCACAAAGTCAATTTTAGTTCCAATATTGTTTATTACAAACATTCATGCACTCTTTGACAGAGAAGATTATGTTTTATGCAGTTATGTGAGTAACCTTGTGAAGAGCTGTCTAAACTTTGCTCTTAGGAACATCCCTTCTACCAATTAGGCATAAAAGCGAAAAAGCAAGCTGTTTGTTATACTTGTTCATTCATTTCCCTTCTGTCTGGTGCAACGTAATACTGTAGCTTCCTACTGCAAATTAAAATCAATACTTCAGACTGTGTGCATGCTTTCATCAAACTAAAAGAATATTCAAGGTCTCTGAACTGTTGGTTGTCCAAATTACACTTCTTTTCCAGGGTGTCTGAGTAAATACAGTTGTAGTGTAATCTAACTATAGTTTACATTCGTCTAAACCCTGAAACAAACTGATAATTACCACACTTAGACTCTCATATGTGAAAAATTATGAAACGTGATCATCATCGTAATCAAAGGTTCCCTGAACAGACGGCTGAAAAATTCTCCCAGATGTGTCAGCATGCATCTGGGTGGGCTCCCCACAAGTTAAACACTTGTTTACTGATTTATCAACTGAGTGCTGCTCCCTGTGATGCAGCCAGCTACTGCTCTCCCACACTCAGAAACAGATTTCCCAAGTCCATGCCAGAGCAGTGCATGTGTAGCAGTGGCTGCTTATCCGACCCTCGTGCATCATTGCATGGTCAGAGAACAGCCACAGTTTTCATTGCACAAAGAATTTCTCTTTTCAGATTAGTTGATATTTACAGTACCATCTGCTTTGCTTTTTTCCCAGCAGTACTCATACCATTACAGTAATAGTGATAAGAGTAAGGTCTAGACCTTATTTTGTAAAGTGTCCTGAGATGACTTTTGTTGTGATTTGGTGCTATGCAAATAAAATTTGATTTGATTGATTGATATCTGGAACTACTTTTACATTATCCATGTTTTTTTGTTTGTTTGTTTGACAAACAAGCCTGAAGTGCGGCAGAAACCTACCACACCTCTAAGCACAGCACCAACTCAGTCAGAGACACATGTATGAAGTGATCATTCATGGCACATAGTTATATAGTTAGGGTGTTATGATTTGTGGACTTGCTTCCCATTTGAGGCTTTTATGCTGGTTAGTTTCCTGTTTTCTGTCACCTCACATGCCCCAGCTTTACTCCAGTCTACAATCACCATTGATTGTGTTCACCTGTCCCTTGTTTTCCTCTGGTCTTTTGTGTATTTATACTCCCTCTTTCGTTCAGTCTCTGGCTGGTTCATTTTGTCTTCACTCCTTGTTGCATTTGTGATGTGTTTGTTACTCTCTGTTCATCACACTCTGCTTCTTTGTCTGTTGTAGATTTTCAGTTTGTGCTTTTAGGTTTGAGATTTTGTGATTTTGAGTTCTTTTGCCTAGCTCCCTGACTGGACTGTTTGTAAGTTTCTGTCGATGTTCTCTGTTACTTGTGTCAGGTTGAGCCTCTTGTGTTTTTGCCCTAGTCCTATGTTACAGTCTTTCATTAAAAAGTCAGTTTAAGCAACTCCTTGGGTCCTACCTAGCCAGTAAACCATAAAGTAGGAGGACTGACCTCCCCTTAACAAGCATGCATGAATGTTATATATTATTAAAGAGCAATTAAAATGAATACAGATGTTTTATATGCAAACCATGTGAGCACTTTAAATGTAATACATTCAAAAGTGGCTTAACTCTACTTATGCTTTCTATTGCAATGGACCAGGGTTGAAAGTGCTTATCCATGAGTGCATGCAGGCAAATCCTTTGTGCTGTGATGAGAAGGTGATGGGTGAAACCAGCACAACCACATTAGAAGTAAAATTCAGTGTTAACACAATAGGATAATTATGATAAAATAAAACATGACTCACCTCACAATCAAATAGCAAGATACTGTAAAATATGTAGTATTTAAGAGGTCTGAGATTGTCTCTTTGTGTCTTCCTTTCCAGGGAATGTGTTTGTGGTGAGTCTGGCATTTGCTGACCTTGTAGCAGCCTTTTACCCCTACCCACTGGTTCTACATGCTCTCTTCCATGATGGATGGGCACTTGGAAACACCCAGTGCATGGTAAGGTCACATCAGTTACAGCATGTTTCAGTCAGTTTCTGCTACAATACCAAAAACCCCTTTCCCAACACAGTTTGACACAAGCACTCTCTCTTTCTTTCTGTTCAGGTCAGCGGTTTTCTTATGGGGCTGAGTGTCATCGGATCCATTTTCAACATCACCGGTATTGCAGTGAACAGATACTGCTACATCTGTCACTCATTCTCCTACAGTCGGCTGTACAGCTATCGCAACACTATGCTGTTTGTTGCCTTAATTTGGCTGCTCACAATAGTGGCCATTGTCCCTAATTTCTTCGTTGGCTCCCTACGTTATGATCCTCGAGTCTATTCCTGCACCTTCGCCCAGAATGTCAGCAGTTCTTACACAGTGGCAGTAGTGGTGGTTCACTTTCTGGTTCCCATTGCGGTGGTTACCTTTTGTTATCTCCGCATCTGGGTACTTGTCATTCAGGTCAGTCTCCTGCTTCTCTATACAGTTGTTAGGTCTTCATGGACACAGAAAAGGTAGTAATGGGAAATATTGTAATAACACCAGCCAAATGAAGTGGCAGCACTATATAAATATGCCATTGGTTCTGAGTATAGCAAAACCACTTGGGCCAAACAATAGTAAGATCCATCACCCTATCAGGGTTCATTCAAATTGGACCTCTTATGTACAAAATATTCTAAATCCCCGTGACCCCGTTCAGGGACTAAGCGGTAAAAAATGAATGAATGAATGAATTACTAGCCCTGTACTAGACAAGTATATTTTTTTAGATGCAAGAATACACTGGCAACATACATAATTTCATCATGTGAATTCCCCTTTCATGTAGGACATTTGAGCTGACAATTCTGATCTTTAATTAATTGTAAGTGTTGATTTAAAATTCGTCAAAATTTGATTTAAGATTTGATAAAGTCAGCACCTGTGATTTCAGACAGGCAGGCAGATAGATGGGCCAGATCCTGGTGTAGTTTAATGTGTGGATATTTGTGTCTGTGATTGTGTATGTGTTTGTTTATATGTATCTGCATATGTGTTAAACAGTGAGTCAGAAAGAAAGCAGCCTTCTTGGATCATTGACAGTCTGTGTCTCCTGCATGTTCTCATCATGTCCAGGTGCGGCGTAAAGTGAAGGCTGAGGAGAGCCCTCGCCTGAGACCAAGTGACTTGCGGAATTTTATCACCATGTTTGTTGTCTTTGTGCTGTTTGCCATCTGCTGGGCCCCGCTCAACCTGATTGGCTTGGCAGTGGCCATAGATCCATCCCATGTGGCTCCTCGTATCCCTGAGTGGCTTTTTGTGGTCAGCTACTTCATGGCCTACTTCAATAGCTGTTTGAATGCCATCATCTATGGCTTGCTCAACAAGAATTTCAGGAATGAGTACAAGCGCATCATCTCCTCTGTCTGGGTGACTCGGCTTTTTGTGACAGAAACTTCGCGAGCTGCCACGGACGGCAGGAGCATGAAGAGCAAGCAATCACCACCACCGCCACTCAACAACAACGAGTCAGACAGAGATCGCATAAACAAAATATGAAATCTGGATCTCTGGGCCTGTTAAATGGTAATTCCTGGTTTTATGTGACCTTTTGTGCAGCTAAAGAGTAACTGGTGAAACTAGGATACATATAGCTTGGTTTTCCTTTGGTAGACATCAAATATCAGGGTGCAAGCGAACATGTTACTACCATTAATATGTTTTTATATTTTGGATAAAGATAAAAGTTTAACAACTTTGTTAAAGTACTAAATGAGGATGAGTTTACAAGTTTCCTCTGTGATTTGCACCCATTATTGATAATTTGCCCTGTGAGAACTGAGCTGTGCTTTACAGTTTCATGTTGTTCTCTAAAACAATCCAAATTATACATTAATATTACATTAAAATGTAATATCCTTTAATGTCAGTTCCTTTAGTACCTACACCTTCCTTTAGTAACTTCAAAAGCCTCAAACAGCTTGCCTCTAGATGGCTAAATGCCTGAAGAGGAGAACATGATGTCTGTTTATCTGCCTGTAATGTACAATAACCATCTGATGGGTTTTTAACATGGTGACATCGAAGTGGTCAGAATTGCACACTAAGCTTAAATGCGGCAGCAGCACATACTTCATGCTGCCTCATCTGATCCTCTCATATAGCAAAGAGAAAGAAACAAAAAACTTCAAGCAAAACTAACGCCAAACTATGTAAGATGTGCTAATCAACATGGTTGTTTCAGTTTTTGAAAGTCCCAAAACAACTGGTGCATGAGATGAAGCAGGCAGAGGACACCTCCATACACACAGCATCTGCTATTGCTGCTGTATCCATCAGTTTTTATATCACCTGTGCTTCTCAGCTGCTGCAGTTTGACCATTAAATAACTTTACTGCCATACCAATTTACAGGACAGCTTTGATCCTGTCTTTCAAATAAAATATGTTTTCCAGCAATGAGCAAAAACAATGCAAAATAAAGAAAAATAACCAGCTTAATTCCAGGAAGAGTAAATGTTGACTACTGACATTATTCTTCAAACGTTTGTAATTTCCAGTCTGATGTCAATAAATCATAATATAGTTAATTGAATACATTAGATGATGCCTCTAAGTACCTAATTTACTGTGCTGGGGGTGCACTATGAGCTTCATACAGAGCACAAAAACAATATCAGCACACTGTATACTGTGCCACTCTTTGCAGATGTTTAATAAAAAATGTCAATATAGCACACTGCATATATTTTTTAGGGTTAAACTTTCTAAAACACAGTATACAGTATAAAATTAAATATATGAAAAATATCTAGAAATATTTAAAGTATTCTTTGTAACCAAAAATGATAAAACTGGAGTCAGGACTATCCAGACAAGAAAAATAAATATTAATTCTCAATAAAACTAAAATGGAGGACACGATTTGATTTAGAGACAATGGTGGTAGAAAGTGACAGTTATATGAGTACGGTCAATTTAGTGCTGGTTTGTGCTACAAAGTCAAAGATACTCAGCAGTATCTAAAGTAGTTAAAAGCATAGTTTCTGCACCTTTACACACTGCAACATTCCAATTATTGACAAATTTATGTAAATTATGCTGCATTCAAACTGCACAATAACAAAAGGACTGAGATACACAAGTTCTGTAATTAATGTAGTTCATTTGCTTTCTAATTTTAAAAAATCAAAAGCTTTTACTGTCAGAAAAACAAACAAATCCCAGAGTACAAAAAAAAGAGAGTACATTACAGGAGTGTCACTTGGCCATACTTAAGAGTGGCATGCATTGTGTTTTAAACAAAAAGTGTTTTGATGTTTATTATTGATGAGGTGCAACACATCTCAGGGTGCCTACTGAACATGCCGATGTGTTCCACAGTGGTCCAATCACAGTTTCACATCTTATTATCTGCCAAATAAGGAGGGACTCTGAAGACATTACAGAGAGGTATTCTGTAAATTAGTGTCAGTGTAGTTTTGAACTATTGTATATTGTTATTGGAGATGTATTCAAATGTGCTGTGTGTGATGTATGTATGTATATATACATAGTTTGTTTTTCAGAGAAATGGAATCAGCTGTTAATTGCACAAGTCAAAAATCTATTAATAGCCATTAAGAGGTATGTAGTAATAAGATGAATGGTTCTGATTTTTTGCTTTATAACTTCACATACCACCGATTTCCTAGCACATTGTGTGTTCTTATACAGGGTAAACATGTGCAAAGCCATAGATCACGAATAGAAACAGATGCGAAGCTGCAATGATAAATATTCATAGTACACAACAGATGCGAGAGCAATAACAGGATAAAAATTTGGAAGCAAACAAAAACATTGGTGGTGTAGAGACACAACAGGCATGCGGGAAAGTAATTTCACCACTGGGGAAGCATGAGTTCTATCCAGGTCACTACACGGACAGGTGTGCTGAACAGTAACAAAAGTATTTAAAAGAGATGTTGCTATGATACAGAAAAAAGTAATGCTCACACATCTGGCAAGTGCTTTAGATACACTTGGACAGAAGCAAAGATTTCAATTTAAACCAAAGAAATGAGCATAACTGACAGGGGTTAGGTGTACATACACTGTCAAGATATCTTGTAAACAGCTCAGGTTGTTTATGGTATCTTTTTCATTCAGCTGCCTTACAGTTAACATAATAGTGTCAAATTTTACGGCAAGTGCCATATTTTTTATTAAAAAGCATGGTTTGTCTCCATACTGCACTGCTGTATGTATTCAGATCAGTCGTTTATAGAAGGTTTTCTGTGTAGAATCACACAGAGGTTTAGATGCAGACCTCACATAGAAGACAGTTATCAAACAGAAGAACAAAACTGACTATATACTGTGTTTTCCTTTCTTGTCATATACCCTACAGCAAAATTATGTAAATACATTCATTTATGTTCCCTTTGCTCACTGTCTGTACCCTTATTTCAGGCTTATTTCTCCACCATCACTGAAAGGGTGTTAACCTTTTTTCAACATGTGCATAATTAAAATGCCATTTCCCAACATTTAAAAACTAAAGCAGCACAGTCTAACAGATTTCATTTTAAAACTGACATTCCTGCCACAATTTCTCACTGGGATTTAATACAGTCCAATAGGGTATTTGTTTGGTTCCAAATCCTATGTAGAATCATGTTTTCACTGGAGTGATGGCAGTATTAATATGTTTTCCTGCAGAAAGGTAATTAAAAAAACATATATATATATATGCAGTTTTAATTTTTTTTTTTATTTGTAACCCATGGAGACTTGTTTATTATGATGTAAGCATCCTATTTTTACAAAGAAAAAATAATTTCGGTGTTTGCCATGCTGTACTGTGCTTACGCCTGGTGGGATATAGCAGCTGTGGGTTTGGTTAGTCTCACACAACTGAAGCTACTGGCATGCTTGTGCTTCTTTGTATTATAACAATATTTTAAATTCTGAGCCAAAAAACTATGAACCTATTTATATTGAGTATAAATTGAAAAAGCTTTCTGCACCAATCAGCCATAACATTAGGACCACCTGCCTAATGCTGTGTATGTCCCCCTTTTTGCTGCCCAAACAGCTCTGACCTGTTCAGGCATGGGCTCCACAAGACTTCTGAAGGTGTCCTCTGGTATCTGGCACCAAAGCATCAGCAGCAGATCTTTTAAGTCCTGTAACTTGAGGTGGGGTCTCCATGGATCATACTTGTTTGTGCAACAGATCCCACAGATGCTCGATTGGATTGAGATCTGGGGAATTTGAAGTTCAAGTCAACACCTTGAACTTGTTGCTGTGTTCCTCAAACCATTCCTGAACAACCCATTCCTGAACCATTTTTGCGGTGTGGCAGGACATGTTATTCTGCCACACCATTAGGGAACACCGTTGTCAGGAAAGGGTGTACTTGGTCTGCAACAATGTTTAGGTAGATTGTACATGTCAAGGTAACATCCATATGGGTGGCAGGACCCAAAGTTTCCCAGCAGAACATTGCCCAAAGCATCATGCTGCCTCCATTGGCTTGTCCTGTTCCCATAGTGCATCCTGGTGTCATCTCTTCCTCAGGCAAGTGACACACATGCACCCAGTCATCCACATGATGTTAAAAAAATGTGATTCATCAGACCAGGCCACCTTCTTCCAGTTCTGGTGCTCTCTCATACCCATTGTAGGCACTTTCGGTGGTGGACAGGGGTCAGCATGGGCACTCTGACCGGTCTGTGGCTACACAGCCTCATACACAGTGAGCTGCAGTCCACAGTGTTCTGACACCTTTCTATCAGAACCAGCATTGCATTTTCCAGCAATTTGTACTATTCTTCTGTGGGACCAAAAGAAACGGACTAGTCCTCACTCCTCCTGTGCATCACTGAGGCTTGGGCGCCCATGACCTTGTTGCCAGTTCATTGTTTGTCCTTCCTTAGACCACTTTTAGTAGGTGCTAACCACTGCAGATTGAAGACAGGGGTCAGCATGGGCACTCTGACCGGTCTGTGGCTACACAGCCTCATACACAGTGAGCTGCAGTCCACAGTGTTCTGACACCTTTCTATCAGAACCAGCATTGCATTTTCCAGCAATTTGTACTATTCTTCTGTGGGACCAAAAGAAACGGACTAGTCCTCACTCCTCCTGTGCATCACTGAGGCTTGGGCGCCCATGACCTTGTTGCCAGTTCATTGTTTGTCCTTCCTTAGACCACTTTTAGTAGGTGCTAACCACTGCAGATTGAAAACACCCAACAGGACCTGCAGTTTGGGAGATGCTCTGATACAGTCATCTAGCCATCACAATTTGGCCCTTGTCAAAGTCGCTCAGATCAATACACCCAACACACTGACAGGTGCCATTGCAGCATGATAATCACTGTTCATTTCACCTGTGAGTTGTCATAATTTTTTGGCTGATACAGATCACAGATATCTTTAAATATGTCTGCATTAGCAGAGCACAAATATCTTGTCTATATCATTTTAACAGGCTGAGGGATTTGGCACACAACTTACATGTGACAACTCTGAAGCATCACTGTTCACTTCCTTTGTTTTTATCTAGAAATACTCACCACACCATTCCTAGTTTTTGTTGCAGAAAATGATGCAACTGCAAATTTCTTCACTCTGAAAAATATAATTAAGCCTTGGGAACATAACTGAATGCACTTTACATATACTAACACAAACCACAGAAATATTAAATGTAGATGTGCATGCACCTCTTATAGTGTTTACAAACAAGAAACCAATCAGTACATTTATAACTGTGATTATGAAAACATTAACAAAGCAGCTATGAAAATGTCTGCAAAGCACAAACGCTTTTTACCTGATAAATATTTACACTCAGTGGCCACTTAGTGTTGGCTGCACCTTGTGAGACACAAGTTGGGCATGAATTAAATAAGAATTCCACAAGAGTTCCTTCTCACGCTGGCCTAATGCTGTTACATAACATGCATACAAAGGATGTGACATTCATAAACAAGGGTCATCGCTGAATAAATGTGGCAAGCGAGTATGTATCTTAATGTCACAAACAGCTTTTTGTGAACAAATGTAATGGTTTGTTACTGTTTTGGTGTAAGAAGGCACCAGATTAAACCAGACAATTAAACATTTCTTTTTATAACAAGAGCCTGGTTAGTTGGTTGGTGACTGAACTTGCATTGCAGCCATTCATCCAATTGAGTCCTTGTGTCTTGATAAATGTTTTTTTATTCCAGAGGCTGTGTGAATGTGTGTGCTTGTCTGATGTTATTTTGACTGATGTTCATTGACAAGGATTCACAAACAGGTGCAGGCCACAATGCCCAGAGGAAGCCCTAAGCAACGTGAACCAAAATCTGTGGAATGTAATGAAATTTGACATTTGAACACTTTATAAGGCCTTGGTTGTGACACAGAGTCTCATCTAAATGCACTGTGTGTACAAAGATATACATTATGTGTACAGTAGAAAATAAAACCCATATCATATTTTGTGACATTTGTTCATTCATGCATTTTGTGAAATCTTAATCTTATGCAGACCTACAGTATAAGACAACCTTGACACCTGCATAGCCCACATTTGAAAATACTCATGAAATGGATAATGGATTTCATTCTGTTTGTATCCCAAGTGAACTGTGTTTCAATTTCAATCATGACTGAGGTTTTGAATATTCCTCCATTTTATGAAACTGTTTGCAAATGACATATGTTCTCATAAAACTTAATTTTATGGTTCTTTAC